CTTTATGCTTAGTGTAAACAGTTGATGTTATATAATATATATTAATTCATAAAATATTAAATAGATAAACGATTGCGTCACCAAAGCAATAATAAATACTAAGGTGGATTTTAGGAGCAATTTTTAGATCTTTGAGATCTATGTTTGTTCCTTAATAAAATAAATGCTAAATCTGACGTATTACACTCAGGTGTCAGATTTAATAAATTCATCCTCTAGTTGTCCAAATCTCGTTTCCTTATAAATCGTCTTCCCTCTGAGCTCATCAGGAAAGATTATGTATCATGTACACAATTTTTCTTGATGCACCAAAACTACTCCGAATATTGAATCGTTGTAGTTGTTGTTATTTTTGTTGCTCTTCTTTTTCCTATGGTAGGTCGAGTGCAGGCTTTGTTGTTCTTCTTTTTCGATTTAATTTTTTATCCACATAGTTTCGGCCTCAGGTCAGGGCGCCGAGTATATAAATGGTTTTTACGGGTTAACCCGAGATGCATTTCAATAAAACAAGGAGCCCCCACAGCCATTCCAAATTTTGCATCATATTCTAAGGCTCTATGAGGTCGGATTAACCTTTTTAATTGTATACAGCTTGTAAAATACTTTATAGCCAAAATCTTTAAGAAACCGTCGTTTCTTTACGCATCTTTGGTGTTAGAATTTATATGTGTGTAAATATTTTACTTTCGTTTGTTTCGTTTATTTAGCCTTGTTAACTTCATCAACTTCTTCGGTTGTTTCTGTTCACTTACCTTTTGTTGCCATTTTTTAATTATTAATAAAATAATACAAACCATTTCAGACATCCATCCATAACTCTCAGTGGGGAATATTACCTAGATGGAAGGAAATACTAAATACTGTGATGACATATGTTCAATCACCATAACAAAAATCAGCTAATACTTAAAATACATAGCAGATAGTATTAGTGACTCTGGAAAACTTCAATATAGAATGGGTAACTAACTATTATGGTTGGTAAAAATCAATTAGTAAAATTTTTAAAAGTGCACGGTTGCACGTCAGTGTTGTGACCCGAAACTCTGAGTTTAGGGAAGACCCGAAATAGAAACTAACAGAAACCACCTGAAACTGGTTTAAATTAGTAGTTTATGCTTAGGTTTAGGTTTAGGTTTAGGTTTAGGTTTCTGCTTAGTGTAAGTTCATTTTCCGGGAAGCCAAAAGAGCCGGCATTAATAAAAACCGATATTTTTCAATAACCTGCAAATAAACAAGATTTAACACATGAAAATTCGTAAATATGCAATTTCAAAAATAATAATTTCCATATAATGTTACCAAGTCTTTCATTCTGATTGGCTAATTTGAATTTCACATCTTTCACGCATAAAGCTGCGGATCATCTCCATGTGGCTGTTGGTTCAGTAATTCCTAAAAGAAACATTTTAATTGTGAGTGATAACCTGATAACACATTTCATTGCATGATTTATTTGTATTTTTGGATTCGTGTAACTGATTAAGATTATTGTTTAAATTTATTTCTTTATTGAATAATAAATAAAAAACCAACCTTTAAAAATATGAGTGTTGAAATTGGTACTAAGGTTGAAGGTGAAAGTCGCATTCGTCGTTCTCAATTAAGCCCTGATAAATTGATTGAATCACCCGAAGAAGGTGTTGAAACTCTTTATGATGTGGTACAACGTAGTGTTAAAAAATATGGTGATAGAAAGAATGCTTTTGGTTATAGAAAAATTGAAAAGATAGTTGAAGAAGAAAAAGAAATCACAAAAATTGTTGGAGGAGTTGAAAAAAAAGAATTGAAAACTTGGAAAAGCGATATTTAAAACGGATCAAAAAGAACCATTCACTTGCAATAAACCATAAGTTATAAAGGTAAGAGTTTTTTATTAATACCTAGATTAGACCGTGTCATCTGCAGCATCGAGCTGATTTATAAGATTGCTAAATTTTAATCTTCTACAAAGTTATGTTCTAGAGGGCAGTAAAAGCCATCAACTATTATTAGTTTACCAAAAATATCTATTCCTCAGGGTGATTAATTCAAAAAAAAAGCCACTTTCACCAAACGATCGAGGAATACTTTTGTCTTAGCAAATTTTTGATTTCTATTTTCTAGCCTCTCCAAAGATAGAAGTATAAGGATGTAAGGACAAAAAATAATCAAATCAAAGACCTTCGTTACGAATTCTATGATTGGTATACGTTATCATGGAGAAATTAAACTTCAAATTATTAAGTTAATAATATAAGGGTGTTTGGACACAAAATTCCAATTTGAATTTCACGCGCGTGAATTTAAAATTTAAAATTTAAAATTTATGTATACGTATATGACATTAATAATTTTCGCTTTCAATAGTTCTTAAAAATGAAAATTTTATGTAAAAGTTTTTTATAACAATTATCAAATTATCGTGGAATGTGATAATTATGTGATTAAATTACTTTGTCAAGCCTGAATTGTGAAAATTTCAATTATTATGTAGAAACTATATATACAGTACCTTGGCAAAAGTTTCGGACACACCAAATACATTAATTACGCAAAAACATACATAATAATTAAAAATCATATCAACTTGTAGCTTATGTTCTGGAGATTCTGTATATAAAATTTCATATTTCTACATTTTCCAGATGAAAAAATAAAAATTCGTGATAAATTTTTTTAATCATTTCTCTAAATCTTACACAATGACATTGTTCTGATTTTCAGGATAAAAATTTTTTACGTGATTTTGAATATTTTTTTTTTTAGCAAATTAAAATGAATTAAGATGGAAATTCAAAAGTCAAAATCAGCAAAATTCTTGGTTTTATAGAACTACAGTTATTCGAACTATACAAAATTATAAGAGCGATGTAATGTGGTAAATGTAGTAAACTTACCTCAAAGTGGTCGACCAAAAAAAAAATAAATAATGATCACAAAAAAGCTTTGAAAAAAATTGTTAGTGAGAATAATCATAAAATTCCAGAATATTTGTACATGAAATTAATTGAAAGCATGTCTCGTAGAATTGAGGCATGTATTGCAAGTAATGGGTGACCCACAAAATATTAAATTTAATTATTAATAAGAAGTTTAAAATTTTTAAAATTTTACGCGTTAATATGATTTTCAAAATTAATTTTTATTTTTTCAAAAATAATCAACTTTTTATTATTTTGAATTGTTTAAGTTCTGGGAAATATAGAAATATGAAACTTTATGCGCAGGATCTCCAGAACATATGCCAAAAGTTGATATAATTTTTTTGTACAATTATTATGTACGTTTTTGCGTAAATGATGTATTTAGGGTGTCCGAAACTTTTGCTAAGGTACTGTATATTGTGAGATTGTAATAATAAAAAACTTTTGATTTTCCATATTTGTTCTTGTATTATATTTGTATTGCTTGAAGAGCAAAGAACAACTTCGGGTCCTCACATGAAAAAGCAGAGAAAAATAAATACACAATTAACATTCTGATATGATAAAATTCTCCAATAGAATCATTTGATAAACTTTTAAAAATAAAACAAACCTATCGTCTTTATTTTCTTTTGTTTGATAAAAGAAAAAGGCATCAATTGTGAAGCTTTGGTAAAAAGCCACATTTTTATTGCTTTAGAGAGTAAGCAAGGTTAGGGCTAACATTAGTTAATTATAGAGTATTAACAATGCAATTTGCTTTGGTGTGTTAACTAGCAAGCGTCAAAGAAGCTGCTTAAGTTTTTTTGTAAATAAAACGAGTTTGAAATTAGCCAAATAAATATAAATAACTGAATAAAAAGAACTTTATAGAAGACTTCTTTATCTATTTACAGTTATCTGGTACTGTTAAATATGCTTACAGATTTGAAAGCTTTCTAGGTATAAAAAAGAGGCAGTAATCGAGAATCAAAGTAAATAAATTCATAAACTTACTAATTGACAAACACTGAATTATTGCAATTAACGGACAAGAGTAGCCTAAAAGATAGCCATAATCGGCTATACATCTTAAATACTAGGCATTAACTGAAATGCTACCTTGAAATGTCAAGAATTAAAAAAGTTTATTATTTCAAAATAAAATTAGTCATTCGAATCTAATGTTTATCAATTAGTTAATCTTTGTTAAAGTCAACATTTAAAAGAAGAGAGTTAAAATCAAGATTATTTAATGAACTATTATTATATAACTTTTGAAGCTTTTGATTTAACAATTTTTTCATCTAATATTTTACTCTATGATATTTGACAATCAAGGTTGGGTGATGAAAGTATTTTGAAGTGTAAAAAGTATTTCGTCAAATGGGGCACTAGTGACAAAACATGATGAAACATGACGAAAGTGACAAAGGGTAAAAGTCAAAAGTCAAATTGTGATAAAGATGACGAAAATATAAAATTCAATTTTATTAAACCAAAAATTTAATTTAAACATTTTTTTTACATCGTAAATCATGTCTCTTGGTTGGATACTTAATTTTTGTATGCAAAATTTTAGTAGGAATTGCTGCTTCACATCTATTGCTGGTTTCATAACTTTCTTCAAAATCTGTAGAATCATCTGATAATTCTGATTGTTGAAATTATTCTTCATTTACTATTTAATGGAATGTAACCATACATCAAAACACAGGACGTCCTGTAGCTAATTCTTGATTATTGTTAAATGAACTTTCAGGTATATCTAATTTTAATGTTTGCAAATTCATATTATATGATGATGATTGAGAAGGAATTGGTGAATTGGGTGAATTAGAATTTGACATCATGAATTTTATTTACTCCATAATTTAAAATCTCCAAAATAATTGGTTTATTTATTGTTTTGTTGATTTCGTCACTTTCGTCACTTTCGTCACTTTTGTCAAATTACTCAAAGTGTAAAAACCTTATTTCGTCACATTTATTTTCGTCATGTGACGAAAAGGAGACATTTCGTCACCCAACCTTGGTGACAATCTTCATGTTACTTGAATCTGAGCATTGTGGTCACCAGCCTGGATAATAGCAGTTATATAATACACCACAGAGTATAATGAAGGAGCACAGGCACATCCAAGGGATGCATTTGCTAAGTATAGTTGTATATATTATTTCTTTTATTTTTCTTTTATTTTAGAAACATATCTTAGGAAGAAATAAAGATGGCTCCTCGATTAATTGCAGCATATAAAAATTGAATTGCGGTTGTGATTGCAGCATATGAAAATTGAATTACGGCTAACTGCGGTTCCCATTTTTAGGAAGAAACCTAAGATCAGTAAGAAGGCCAGAAGGTACTAGACCAAAAATGTTAATTGGTGGTCCACTGATCAATGATAGAAATTTGTTATGAAGATCCGGGATATCAAACCTATTATTATTATTATTATTATTAATAGATGATGACTAATAAGCAGTGTTGTGCCATTTATGGTTCCAATAAAATTTCATTGGAGCATTCTAATAAATTCCAATTGGAATTGGAACATTCCAAATGTGGTTCCAATGAAGTTAACCAATGAAATTCAATTATAGTGTCATACACACGAATTTTATTGGTTAATATCAATTGAAGATCGACATTGGAACATTCCAATAGCATTACAATGTTCCAATTGCACAATACTGCTAATAAGTTTCACCAACAAGTATTTTTATTGTCAATATAAAAAAAGGATAATCATCTTCAGAAGTATCATTCTTCCACATAAGCAATTTAGTATATAAATAATTTGAGAGCATTCTAGTCATTGTTAAAAAACTGGAGAACTCAAGATCAAATTATTTACACTATTCAAACTTCTAACATCACCATGTTGGACCGAGTCTTCTCAAACTTGCTCTTTTTGTGGCAAGTTGAATAAACAGATTTATTGGCAATTCCGTTCAAGGTGTTGCTTTAATAAAAATAAAACCAGAGCCAAGTAAGCAATTATTTACAGACTGCAGCATATATAAAATTTTTTATATTGTTTATCTTAAACAACTGAAATATATTTATATTCTCTAAATCAATAAAAGAAGTAAAAGAAGATATCTTGCTGATTAGATCTTTCAAAAACTGAATATGTTTCTAGTCTCAATATATTTCCAATATTTGGTAATTCATTAAAGTGAGTATGATGGATGATTGTAATTGTTGTTTATTAAAGACAAGTGATGTGGTTCGTGCACTTAAGTAATTGATCTTAACTGTTTTTAGAACATCCATAATATATTTCCCTAGATGACCAACACCCTAATAAGATGACAAAATTCCAAAAGGTGCAAAATATATGCTTTAGATAGTAAGATGAAGCCATTTTATCAAATAGCCTGGTGAAGTCATTAGAGATACCACTTGTAAACAAAGGAGAAGAAAAAAATTTTATATGCAATCATATTAAGTATGGAAATTTTACTACACCTAACGGTTGAGGGGGCACCAAAAATTTTTATAATTGCCTAGGAAAGTTTTTGACCCAACTGGTATATGCTTGGGAACCAGGGTTGACAAATGTGTGGTCCATTAATGGTCTATTGGTGGTCCATTGGGTCCATTAGTGTAATACTTTAACCATATTTAGTATTTTGTTAATGGCAATGGACCAGTCCAAAATCCATCTGTTCTCAATGGACAAGTAAATTTGCCAACCCTGTTGGGAACTACCCTTATATGGGCAAAAATCAACAAAAATTAACAAATGTTCAGGTGGTTAAATCAATTTGTGATTTACTATTATATAACATTAAGGGGATCAATATCGAATATAATGGTTATTATTATTATTTTTTCATTGTGAATTTTTATTAAATAAAAACTTTAATGTTGATTTTTTTTTCTGTTGATTTATCAAATAATAAGGACCACCTGAATCCACTC